TTACAATGTTCTTCCAAAAATTTTCAGCAGAAAACACTATCAAGGATCCCCAAGCATCGAGATCTTCTACTTCATCAAGCATATCAGCAAATCCTTCTCCATCAACTTGTCTTGTTGCATGGATGATTTTCCCAACTTCTCTATCAATTTCAGGGAAGGCTTTAAAATCATTCACAACTTCTTCTCCATCAGTCCTTCCAGCAGGCATTTAGTTTGTCGTTTAATTCATCCATTGCAACTTTGATGAGTGCTATTGCATCAGCAGTAGTGAATGATTTCCAGCACTACATTATTTCCAGTTTACGATCTGCATCAATTGCTGATTGAATGTGATCAAATACCAGGCAGATGTATGTGGCCTTGGGAAAATGAATGATGTCCTAGTCAAGCGGCTGAAGAAAAAGGTTGTATTTGCAGATAAAAATACAACCTCAGCATTTTCATGTTCATGGCAAACAGATTCAGGATGGCTGGGTACATTATCTATTATTAATAGGTCCTTAAATTCCAACCCTTCCTCTTTCAAATATTTTTTCACTTCTGGGAACCATTGATGCATTGGTGGAACCATTCTATAAACAAGACAGCTGTCACCCATACTTTCTGATTATATGGCCAGAACACAAGCATAAATAAGTTTTGGTTTTGCTTTTGAGGGCACATGGGTTCTTTGCTCTGTACACCATGCTTGGCTTTATCATATGCCCTGCAGCATTGCCACACAGTACGAGAGTTAATCTGTCTTTCCATGCTTTATGCCCTGGTGCTTCCTTTGCACTTTTATGAATTTAGGTTCTGTTGGTCATCTTCTTCCAGAAGAGGCCGGTCTTATTGCAATTGAAGACTTGCTGTGTATGATATCTTTTCTCCTTAATCTACTTCTTCAATTCTGCCAAAAATGTGGCAGCAGCTTCTTCACTGGCAAATGCAACCTCTTTAGTAGTTTTTATGCTTTTCGGTCCAAACCTATTCTTGAATCTGTATAACTGTCCCTTGCTTGCAGTAAATGGCTTTTGGTGTCACTTGTTTCAGGGGATCCTTGCTGATGTCTTTGTGTAGGCTCCGTGCTTTCTGGTACAACACATTGCTGTCAGAACACCTTTCTGTTCATGTCTTCTACCCACAAATGTAATGCCTTTTCCATCTTAACTAAGCACTTATGTACTGTGGTCATAACTCCATAACTGTGTTTTTTGTTTTTTGTTTTTTGTTTTGAGACAGAGTCTTGCTCTGTAGCCCAGGCTGGTGTGCAGTGGTGTGATCTCGGCTCACTGCAACCTCCGTGTGGCTGTAACTTTTGCGGTTTGAGGTGTGTCATCAAGACTGACATGAATTTTTTTTTTTTTCCTTCTTCACAATTTCATGGATAGAAGATTCCTTGTTACAGTAGATCTTAGTAACCTAGGCATATGATTTTTTTCTTTCCTTATTGAGTTGAGAACTTTTACCTTTTTTTTTTTTTTTTTTTGAGATGGAGTTTGCCCAGGCTGGAGTGCAATGGCATGGTCTCGGCTCACTGCAACCTTCACTTCACAGGTTCAAGGGGTTCCTGGAGTCTTTTTGTTATTGTTGCTGTTAATCTCAGGTCCTTTTCTAATCTCCCTCAAAATGAGTTCAGAAGCAGGGGAATATTTGGTTCAACAGGAGAGTGGAATTGGTTTTTTTGTGTTTGTTCTTTTAAACTCAGAAAAATAAGGTGGCGGCGCCTGTAGTTCCAGCTACACGGAAGCTGAGGCAGGGGAGATGGCGTGACCTGGGAGGCGAGCTTGCAGTGAGCTGAGATCCGGCCACTGCACTCCAGCCTGGGCGACAGAGCAAGACTCGTCTTAAAAAAAAAAAAAAAC